TTGACTCATGTGGACCATTCTAAGGTGCCACTTTCTATCACGAAAGGTTAGTAGAAACAAGAGTAGAATTGAAACAGTCAAAATAATAGTTACCATAAAGAATATAAAGCCCATTCATTTCACACCTTTCAAGATAAGGTTGTTATTTCTATACACATTCAAACAACCATGTTCAGCCCTATAACAACAGCCAAACTATCTAGAGTTCCTAAGGAGATCATATCCTTGAGTTCATGATAAACCTAACCTTAGTCAGTTTATAGCTTCCATCATTCAAGTTAAGTATATCACCATCCCTTTCACTTCACAAGCATTGTTATTACCCATGAACATAGTCTCACGCTCACATGCTTCATAATCTTGAAAACATTTTCTATTAGACTCATGTGAAAAGAACATCCTAAGTTAATACCCAAACCTATACCAGTCTGACTTAGACACTATAAGACTTCAAACTCTTCAATGACCTGTTTGGTTGAGGTAAATTACTCTATATGTTTCCCTGTTTTCGGTTTTTAATCCACTCAAAGCAGTTTTTCTTTAAGTGGCCTGTTTTGTTATAATAAAAGCATTTTCTTGTTTCTCCTTTAAGCTATTATTCCCCTTTCCTTCTTCTATTCTTAGAACTAGGGTTATGCTTAATACCTTTACTAGGTTGACCAAACTCAATTTACCTTTACAAACAGTATATACCATTTCGTTTATGGACTTTCAGCTAATTCTCTAGCTTAAACCAGCTTAATTAGATCCAGCTAGGTACTGTACCAGTCTACTGCAAAACATTCTTAACTACTGATACTCTTAGTTATTAAATTTAACAATATCATTACAAGACCGGTGTCACTAATTCTTGGTTTGTACCTTTTAGTATCAAGTCATTTTAAGGAATTCATCTAAACTATCACCAAAGACTTAGAACTATCCATTTTACTTGAGAACAAAACACCCTTTAAAAATGCAAGATTTGGTGCAAATTGCAAACAATATAGTGTCGAGTTTACCCCATAGTGCAAGAGAAGTCTCCAAGCCATCTACATTCCTTGAACATTATCAGAGAGGTTCATCACGATCAGATTATACGTTTCCTCATCTATTTCTGCCTTTTCTTTAATTTTTCTTCTTGCCATTTCTTCGCATTCTTTTCTATGCAACAAAACCTTGTTGTGGGAAAGCAGCACTTTCATCTTCTTCTTGCTATTGAAGTCGACTTTGTCGTCATATTGTGTAATCCCCATCCGTGTGGTAGACATGTGTGAATTTGGTAAAGAATATCAAGAATTTACCTAACTACTTAAATAAAAATTGATCTCTAATTTCGGAGAATTGACAACTCAATTTGACAAGATTAATGACTCTAGAGTACAACACGACGGTTAGACACAAAACCCCCAAATTTCAACAAACCCTAGATTTCGAGAAACCTACCTAACTGAACGATAACACCTCAAATTTCAGATCTAAAAATTTAGAGTAATAAGAGACTAATCAATCAAGAAACCCCTAATTTTTTATGAACCCTAGATTTCAAGAAACCTACAAATCGAAGAAAAATGAAGAACCCTAGAGATTCTAGCTTGTACCACTGTAAAGATCCAAGCCTAATAATCAATCTCCAATATCAATCAATCACACAGCCAAAACAACCCACACAAAAACACAATCAAGAACACACAAGGTTTTTACCATGGTTACCTACCAAGATTGGAAAACTACATCTACGTTGAGCTCCAGAATATTGGAACTCACTGCACTAATTAATCAAGACTTATAGTTTACAAGAACAAAGATCATCAATCTTCCACTCATTCACAACAAAACTCACTTTGTAACTCCTAATTAGAGAACTCTTCCTGGTATCTCTAATCTTGAGAGAACAAACAACCCTCATAGAATGACTAAGAACTAATCACTCACGCACTGAAGCTACACTGATTTTGGACTGAAAAATGAAAAATTAAGAGAGCACTAGCTTTCACTCGAAAGAGAGAAGAAGACTAATGTAAAAATCTGTATTTTGGGGTTGCTTATAAACGTTGACTAAGTGTAAATTCAGCCATTGGATCACTCTTGCCATCAACGACCAGCATTCTCCAAGCAGTTTAAAATGGCAGCGCCATACTTCCCATGCGACACTGTATCAAGGCTTCATATTTAACAGGCACATATGTAGCCATGATTCCTATTTTTCTAAAGCACTGCAAAAGGGTGCATTTGTTTAGGGAATGTTGGATTACTGGAAAGTTAGATTACCATGAAGATTATTGGAAATCTTTAGGAAAATATGTTTGGTTAGTTAGAATAAATGGTGGGTTTGTTATATTAATATTGTTGGCTGGGAGGCATAAATTGGTGGGTATGTTTTTAAATTACTAAATGCCCTCTTTTTTAATATTAATATAATATTATTTTTATTATTAATTTTTGAATATTTTTTAACCCTAACATTTCAAATTTAGGTAAAACACCCCACTATAAAAAACTTTAATTTATATAAAAAACACCCCCACCACCCCAAGCCACTGCCTACCACTACCATCCGTCGTTGGAAGTCGCCATGAGGAGTTGAGAAACACCGAGGGCTCCGATATGGCCGTTTCTAACCATATTGATGGTTCAAAATGCCATATCAAAGTAGATCTGGCCGTTCTTAGCTATCATAGTGACTCCAAATGACTTTCGGCAGCGGTCGGCGGTGGTTTGGCTTGACAGTAAGTGGCAACAGGTGTGGTGGGGTGGGTGTGGGTGGGTGGTTGCATTTGTTTTGAATTTAAGGGTAATTTTGTCCGAAAAGTTAATTAATTAGGGTGAAATAGTAAAGCCAGATTTGTAAATTAATTTAAAATAAGGATTATTGTCCTAAAATATTCATTAATAATGAGTAGAATTGTATCAAAAACAAGATTACCTTAATAATCTACAATACCTAAGAAAATGGAGGGTATCAGGTTACCTCCAATATTACCAACGGTAACTACTATTGGTATTGAAAGATTACCAGAATATTATATACTTGACAATCAAATGCGATAACCAAGTAATATAACATGACATAGCCCAATAATCCTATATAACCCCCAACAAACGCCCCCAAAATAGTTACTTGCACCCTACTTCAATCATCACATCACCTAAAATAGCCTAAACATTGAGACTCGTTCAACTCCAACAAAAGACTTATTTGCCCTTAAAGACTTTGAATCACTTTTTAATACTCCCCTTTGATTCAAATCTGCAAACACCCATGGTAATATGAAGTAATCATGCTTGCTGAGAGACAGACTTGGTCAGAATGTCTACGACCTGTTTATTTGTATCACAAGCCTTTAATGAAATCATTCCATTTGTTACTAGACTTCAAATAAAGTGAAACAGAGGTCAATATTTTGGTTCTACTGTGGAGATGGATTTTGTTTGTTGTTGCAATAGGCTCTGTTGTCACAAAAGATTCTGTTGGCCAGCTTACTATTGATGAAAATCAACAAGAAGTCTTCTTAACCATACTGCTTGACCATATTAAATCTCTTTAAAAAACAATTATTTTTTTTTGTGAAATAAATTCCATCTACATTTTGTTTCACCTTAGGGCCAAGAAAATAATGCAATAGACTTAAATTTGACATCTCAAATTTCTTCATCAGCAAGATTTAAATTCAACAACAATAGACTCACATGATCCCATATATTATATCATCAACATAAAGACACGCCGCCAAAAAGTCATTTTTACCTTCTTCTTCAAATAAAGAGTTGCTTATTGCTCCTCATTTCAAATCTATTTTCTTTGAAATAGGAGTCAATTTTTGCATACCATGCTTGGGAGCTTACGTCAACCCGTAGAGTGTCTTTTTCAACTTGTAGACTTTATTTTCATTCCCACTAACTAGAAAACCTTCAAGCTGTGAGACATACACTTCTTCTTCCAATTCACCATTCAAAAGGCAGACTTAACATCAAATTGATAGTAGGCCATTAAGTTGAGCAGCCAGGTTAAAAAGGTTTCACCGTTTCAAAGCATGCAACAGGGGAGAACATTTCTTCAAAATCAATTCCTGTTATTGAGAATATCCCTTCACAACAGCCAAGCCTGTGCTTCTGTATACTTCCATCTGCATGGCATTTAGTTTGATACACCCTTTGAGCCAATGACATTTTTTTTCTTCAGGCAAATTCTCCAAATCCCAAGTCTAATTTTTTGAATTGCCAACAGCTCTTTTCCATTGCATTACACCATTCTAACATTTTCACGGCTGCCTCAAAACATATAGGATCTAAAGCAAATAGAACAAATGTGTAGGTAGAGTCAGAGGAGAATCAAAATTTGTTAGTGTTGAACCATTGGTGGATCATCAAAATTTTCTGGAACTTGAATATAGCCTTTTATCTTCATCCAGGCCCACTTGCATCTTCATTAAACACCACATCCCTACTAATAATCATCTTGCCATGACAAGATTACATAGTCTATATGCTTTGGATTGAGGACTATAGCCAATAAAAATGCATTTTCAGATTTTTATTCAAGTTTTTTAGATTGTGATTTTATCAAAACATAAGCTATACAACCAAAACCTTTAAATGACTTACCGTGGCTTTCTACCTTTCCAAACTCATATGGTGTTTAGTTCAAGATTGCTTCTGTAGGAGAAATAATAAGGATGTACACTGCAGTTGCAATTGCTTCCCCTCAAAATTATCTGAAGATTTTGCTTCAACATACTTTTGGCCATTCAACAACTGTCCAGTTCTTCCTTTCAGCAATACTGTTTTGCTTGGTGGTGTGTGGTGTAGTCCGTTCCCTGTGAATTCCATTTTCCTCACAAAAAACATTAAATTCAGTTAAAGAAATTCACTCCTTATCTATACAAAATGTCTGAATGAAACATTTTTTTTTCTCAATAAGTGGCTTTGAAATTCTTGAAGATATATCAAGGCTTAGACGTAGAATGTCTTCCCCACTCCAGAGGAAAACAAATGAAAAAAAAAATAAAAAAAACCTGTTAATGTTGTCAGAGGAGGAGGGTTTGGAAGAAGAGAAGATTGATGTACGCGGGAAACGTTTGGATGAAGGGAAAGGTTGATGGCATCCATTTGAAGAAAAGAAAAGAAGGGTTTTGGAGTTGGAGTTATGGAGCTTTAAGTTTGGTGATAAAAAATTAGAGGAGAAGCAGAAGCTAGCAGCCATAGCCATTGTTGTTGGAGTTCATAAGGAAGCGGTGCAGAGAGCAAGTTGTTGATGGGGTTGGACATAAGATGACACTAGATGTCGAAAAGACAATTCTATTTAGGGCCTTCACTTTAAACCCACTAACATTTTCCTAAAACTTACAAACACTCTCAAATAATGGTATTTATGTTTAACCCTTACCGTCAGGACTTTTACCATTTTACATGGGATATAGGGTATAAAGTAAAAGTCTGACGAACTCAACCTATTTTCTAGGAAACCTCCTTATCCTTGTCGAATTAGGAAAGCATTGGATTTTTATTATAAATGTTGTAAGCTACTAAGCTGGCCAATACAATTTCTTTTATCTTTTCTTCTTTCTTTCTCTCTTCTCTTTTTTCCTTGTCATTCTTTCTTTGAAAGTAATTATCATGGAGATCACACAAGTTTGGAGAAGTAATTTTCATCAACAGATTTCTTCTTTCGATGGTACACTGCATCGATTTAGAGTAATTTGTTTGGACACTGAGTTTCTTGGCTTTCTTTGCAACACACCAAGACATTCCCCTAATCATATCCGTTAGCATGATCTCAGGTATAATGTAGACAATACCAAGATCATTCAACTTGGTATCACGTTATCGGATGAAGACGGCAATGTGGGCGGTACTTGGGAGTTTAATTTCTCAGACTTTGACATGGAGAAAGACTCTTACATGGAGACATCCATTCAACTTCTTGAAACGCATGGACTTGACTTAAATAAAATTAAGAAGAATGGGTTTCCCTTGAACATATTTATGCCTAGATTTTTTAGCAGTTTTGTGGAAGCATAACCCTAGTCTCTTCAAATGAGTTACCTTTCATGGTTTATATGATTTTGCGTACATGCTTAAATTGTTAACTAATAATCATCTTTTGCCAAGAACAGATAAAGCATTTGATGAGATGGTTGCTGCTTATTTTCTCGACATTAAAGTTGTGGAGTGTTATGCCTAAAAAGTCACACCTATGTCAACTCATTTAATGTCTTCTTGTACCAGTTGTCAAGCCCATATCTCCAAAGATATTCTGACCAACTATATCTCCTTTCAAGAGATGCATGGAGGAGAGCCTTCCATGTGTCAAGGCAACTTGCAAACACTCATTACATTGAGTGTTTGGGTGAATAAATGGGCATTTCTCTTCACGAAGAGGGAGGCTGGGCGGAGATTGGAGTTTCATTTTCATTCTCTGTAAACACTGTATTTCTTCATCTTTGTATGCCTTACAAGCAAAATCATAGAAATAGTCAGAGATCAATAAAATAACAGTGGATGTAGGAGTCGCTTGTTGCATCCGAACCACTATAAAAACCCCTCTTGCCAATCTTTTATTTATTTTTCTGCAAAATATATAATCTCAGCTCCATATTTAAATCTCATGGATCCATCACGTGTGTCTCCTGAGTCAGCTCAGCGTTTCCCACGTGCGAGTCGTTGGCGTCCAAAATCAAGCATCAACATGGAGAGACACTACGAAGGGCTACTAACGGCAGAGGTAAGGTTATCTAAACTTGCCAAGGTGTTAGAAATCAAGAGGATAGGTGAACCTCACAACGCGGGTTCAGATAATTTTTTAACAGCGACTATATATGCGAGAATGACAAAGTGTTGTGGGTTTAAAGTAGAAGTTTTTGATGGATTTCTTTATGGCATGAAGACAAGGTTCAAAAGGGCTGCAGCTAAAATTATAGTCCCACGTTTTAGTCAACCAATATTGCTTCATGGACCACCAATGGTTCCCTATTATGGCGGACCATTTGAATATCATCATTCTCTTGGTGTTTTTGTTCCCATTCCTATGCAATTAACACCTCATTGGTGTAATATTTATAATAGTATTTACTTAAATAAATTTTGGTTTGTTTTTCGGATTAATTTTGTCTTTTTATATTGATATTAAACATTTTATTCAATCTTAAATTGCTTCACATCCCTGCATAAATTAAATGGGTTCATAAATTGCACGTTCATATCCGCGATTCTATTCATCAAACTGGTTTTACAGTGGTGTGTAATCTGGAATTCGCATTTAGAGTAAGGTAAATAATTCATAATTAATTCCTGGCTAGACAAGTGGATTTAAAAGTAAATCAAATGGGAAACCAATATATAGAATAAAATATATCAGTTTTTAGTGATCTAATTTAAGAAAAAAATGCAGATTTTTTTTAAAACTGGCAAGAAATTACAATGTTTATAATGGTTCTGAAAGTTGTTATTGTATTCTTCTCTAGCTATTAAACAACGAATTAAAATTCATTCTCTTCTTCAATATATAAAACAAATAGGCTGAATAAAACAAATTGGTTAGGTATTATACCATATACTAGTTGAAAGTCCCGCGTGTTGCATGGGTTGCTTATGATATTGGTTTTGACACCACGTTTGTTTAAATAATTGGATTTTTTAATTGGTTGATGTCTACTATTGAGGTACATATATTGTATAGGTCCATCAAATTAAATATTTTAATTATATATAGTTTTACATTATGATTTTATTATGTGGGGTCGTTTTTTAATGTCAAAATGTATTGTTTTAAAATGATGTCATTTCATACATTGTTTTAAATAACTTGTCATTTCTTTTAAGTGTGGTTCAACCACAATTAGAAGGGCTTATAGTTATCCAAATTCATCGTATAATATATCAACTTAAAGCCCTGTCTGCCTAGTTTTCAAAAATTCAAAACCACTCATCAATTGAATTTTTATTGAACAAGTTATGACTCATTTATTACTGACTGTTCAATGGAAATTGAGAAAAAGGGGAAACCAAATTGTGTGTGATAATAAAATGAATGATTCGACAGAGGGTACACAATTATCCAAATTTAGCGTATAGTATATGAAAATAAAGGTCTGTCTGTCTAGTTTTCAAATATTCAAATCCCTCATTAATTGGATTTTTATTGAGTAAGTTATGACCCATTTACTACTGACTATTCAATAAGAACCGAGAAACAGGGGAAACCAAAATGTTTGTGATGATAAAATAAATGGTTCAATAGGGGGTCTAAAATTATCCAAATTCATTGTATAATATATCAAATTAAAGTCTTGTTTGTCTATTTTTAAAATACTCAAACCGTTCATAATTTGGAGTTTTATTGAACAAGTTATAGCAGATTTAATACTGACTGTTCAGTGGAAATAGAGAACTGGAGAAACCAAAATGTCTGTGATGATAAAATGAATGGTTTGGTAATAGGTCTACAGTTATCCAAATTCAACGTATAATATAATTAAAGCCCTATTTGTCTAGTTTCCAAAGATTCAAATTGTTTGTCAATTGGATTTTTATTAAACAAGTTATGGTCAATGTACTACTGACTGTTTAGTGGAAATTGAGAAACGGAGGAAACCATAATGTGTGTGATGATAAAATGAATGGTTTGTTAGGGGATCTACAGTTATCCAAATTTAGTGTATAATATATTCAATTAAATCCCTATCTGTCTAGTTTCCAAATATTCAAACTATTCGTCAATTGGATTTTTATTGAGAAAGTTATGGTCAATTTACTACTGATTGTTCAATGGAAACTGAGAAATGAGGAAAACCAAAATGTGTGTGATGATAAAATAAACGGTTTGGCAAGGGGTCTACAATTATCCAAATTCAGTGTATAATATATCAAATTAAAGCCCTGTTTGACTAGTTTTGAAATATTCAAACAGTTTGTCAATTGGATTTTTATCGAGAAAATTATGACCAATTTACTACTGACTATTCAATGAAAACCGAGAAACGAGGGAAATCAAAATGTGTGTGATGATAAAATGAATGGTTCGGCAAAGGTTCTAAAGTTATCCAAATTAAGCATATAATATATCAAATTAAATCCATATCTGTCTAGTTTCCTAATATTCAAACTGTTTGTCAATTGGATCTTTATTGAGCAAGTTATAGCAAATTTACTACTCACTGTTCACTGGAAATCAAGAAACAGAGAAACCAAAATGTGTGTAAGGATAAAATGAATGGTTCAGCAGTGGGTCTACAGTTAGCCAAATTCAACGTATAATACATCCAATCAAACCTTGTCTGTCTAGTTTCCAAATATTCAAACCGTTCGTCAATTAAATTTTTATTGAGCAGGTTATGGTCAATTTACTATTGACTATACAGTGGAAACTGAGAAATGAGGGAAACTGGAATGTGTGTGATGATAAAATGAATGGTTCAACAATGGGTCTACAACTATCCAAATTCAGCATAGAATATATCAGACTAGAGCCCTCTCTATCTAGTTTCCAAAGATTCATACTGTTCCTCAATTGGGTATTTATTAAGAAAGTTATGGCCAATTTACTATTGACTGTTCAGTGAAAACCGAAAAACGGGGGAAACTGAAATGTGTGTGATGATAAAATGAATGGTTTGGCAGGAGGTCTAAGTTATCCAAATTCAGCATATAATATATAAAATTAAATCCTTGTCTATCTGGTTTCCAAATATTTAAACCGTTTGTCAATTGGATATTTATTGAGCAACTTATAGCAGATTTACTATTGACTATTCAGTGGAAATTGAGAAGCGGGGAAACCGAAATGTGTATGATGATAAAATAAATGGTTCAGAAGTAGGTCTACAGTTATCCAAATTCAATTTATTATATATCAAATTAAAGCTCTGTTTGTTTAGTTTCCAAATATTCAAACCATTCATTAATTGGATTTTAATTAATCAAGTTATGGTCAATTTCAATGTTCTGAAAATCGGACCGGGAGTGGACTCTGCCAAAGGCCCGATTTTCGGTTTTCACGGTTGGACCGGTCCGATCAGTCGATCCGACCAGTGATATCATCAATTACTCTATGTTATTATCACAACATGAATAAACTCCCCCTTTCAATTACTCTTTACTGTAATAAAGCTTCACAGTGCAACTTTCACAGTTTCACCATCAATTTCTAATTTGCCATGAGAATTTACATTTTAGAGTTTTAGAAATCCAATTGATAAATGACAGATTCACAATAAGAAATCAGTTTTAAGATTTTCAAAATTTAAATTGACAGATTCAGTGATTCACAATTTCACATCACAATAATACAAATATACAATATCATGAATCATGATATGAAATAGAAGACAGAGAAAGATAGGATGACTCTTAGTCTCTTACAGTAGTTTGCTACTTGGTCGACGACAAACGGAAGCTCGCAGATAGTGGCAGATGTGAAAGCTGAAATCTGAACTGAAGTTGAAGTAGTGACTGACTAATCTGGCAGACCAGCTACAACAAGCAAGAAGCTATTAAAGTCACAACTGACGAGTGACGAAACTGTAATGTAGCAAACTAGCCATGACAAGGAAGAAGCAGAGTAGCAGAACACCGATGATTGAAGAGGTTGAAGACTTGAAGACTTGAAGGCTAAAGCTGAAGATTGAAGGAGATCGCGAATGGAGGAGGACTGGACTGGAGCCTGAAGAGGTTGATTGAAGAGGAGGAGATCGCGATGATTGAAGAGGTTGAAGACTTGAAGAGTGAAGACTTGAAGACTGAAGCTGAAGCTTGAAGGAGATCTGAGATCGCGAATGGAGGAGGAGGACTGGACTAGAGAGTGGAGATTGCGAATGGCAAACCACAAAGAAAAAGCAAATTTCAAATTAGCAACATGGCAGATGGCTAATCTGCAAAAGCAAATAGAAATGGATTAAAAAAATTGGGGGTTTGACTTTAACTTTTTTAGTTTTTTTATTTTTTTCACATTTTTAAATTTTAATCAGTGGACCGGATTGTTTGTTATACTGATTGGACCGTCAGTTTACTACAGTAAAACAGTCCAACAACGGTTTGAGATGGTCTAACGCAAAATCTCAGGTTTTTACTCTTTTTAAACCGAAAATCCTAGTGAAAACTGGTCAGACCAGTTCGACCGCCCAGTCCAGTCCGGGTTTCAAAACATTGGTCAATTTACTACCGATTGTTCTGTGGAAACCGAGAAATGGGGGAAACTGAAATGTGTATGATGATAAAATGAATGGTTCAGCAGTGAGTCTGTAGTTATCCAAATTTAATGTATAATATACCAAATTAAAGCTCTATCTATCTAGTTTCCAAATATTCAACCCCTTCATCAATTGTATTTTTATTGAGAAAGTTATGGCCAAGTTACTACTAATTGTTCAGTGGAAACCAAAAGACGAGGGAAACCAAAATATGTGTGATGATAAAATGAATGGTTTTACAGGGGCCCTAAAGTTATCCAAATTTAGATTATAATATATCAATTTAAAGCCTTGCTTGTCTAGTTTCCAAATATTCAAACCGTTCGTCAACTGGATCTTTATTGAGCAAGTTATAGGAGATTTACTACTAGCTACTCAGTGGAAACTAAGAAACAGGAAAAACCAAAATGTGTGTAATGATAAAATAAATAGTTCTGCAGGGTTCTAAAGTTATCCAAATTAAGGTTATAATACATCAAACTAAAGTCATGTCTGTCTAGTTTCCAAATATTCAAACTATTCGTCAATTGGATCTTTATTGAGAAATTTATGGTCAATTTACTACTTGTTGTTCAATGGAAACCGAGAAATTGGGGAAATCGAAATGTGTGTGATAATAAAATAAACAGTTCGGCAAGGGGTCTACAGTTATCCAAATTTAGCGTATGATATATCCAATTAAATTATGTCTGTCTGGTTTCTAAATATTCAAACCGTTCATCAATAGGGTTTTTATTGAGAAAGTTATAGTCAATTTATTACTGACTGTTCAGTGAAAACTGAGAAATGGAGGAAATCAGAATATGTGTGATGATTAAATGAATGATTCGACATTGGGTCTACAGTTATCAAAATTTAGCATATAATATATCAAATTAATGCTCTATCTGTCTAATTCCCAAATATTCAAACCATTCGTCAATTGGAGTTTTATTGAGCAAGTTATGGCTAATTTACGACTGACTGTTCAATGGAAACTAAGAAATTGGGAAACCAAAATGTGTTTAATGATAAAATGAATGGTTTGGCAGTGGGTCTACAATTATTCATTAATGTATAATATATCAAATTAAAGCCTTTCTGTTTAGTTTCCAAATATTTAAACCGTTCGTCAATTGGATATTTATTGAGCAACTTATAGCAGATTTACTATTAACTATTAAGTGGAAATTAAGAAACGAGGAAAACCGAAATGTGTGTGATGATAAAATGAATGGTTTGGCAGTGGGTTTACAGTTATCCAAATTCAGCATATAATATATCGAATTAAAGTCCTGTTTGTCTAGTTTCCAAATATTCAAACCGTTCATCAATTAGATTTGTGAGCAAGTTATGGCTAATTTACTACTAACTGTTACGATTCTATAATACAATGGTTTGGCATTTGGTCTCTTGTAATTCTATAGTACAATCTTCCTTTGATATGTTTATTGATCGTATTTGTTCGGCAACTTGCTTGCAGGAATTACGATGAATCATGAAATAAACTTTTCATGTAATATTAACTAAAAAAGACATTACAATATTACAATTGTTAATGGACAATGTTCGGTAAATGGTCTATTGTAATTGTACTATACAATCTAAATAGTTTTGCATCTCGACTCTTACAATTAAACATAATGGTTCGGCAAGTGACTACAATTATAGAGTATAATCGTCAACAACATTATGATAAAAATAGTTTGGCACAGGCATTAGCAAATAGCAACAAAACCATTTATCATAATTACTTGCCAACAAAACCATTGATCATAATTGTTCGCCACATAGAATTTTTCAGTACATCAGTTGACAAATAAATTGTTCGAAATGGTCAGCCTATGTCTTCTTATAACTTGTTATAATTGAATAACAAAATTACTAGTTTGGCAAATTGATCTGACAATTCTGTGGGAGGATGTACGATTCACCTTTTGGACTAAATCAATGAAATAGTCAAAACCACACAATAACTTATATACCCTTTGAAAAAAAAAAAAAAAAACCCTATATAGCAAACATGATAAGCAATTAAACTAGAATATAACAATACAATAGCGAATAAACTCCAAGCAATTAAAGAAGCGTAGTTAGATGAATAAATTACCTTCAATAGCACATAATTTCCAACTATGACAATAAATGTTATATTCCAACCAAAATATATAACCGCACGAAATCAAAATAAAAAGTTTAAGAAAAACCAAAAGAACACAATCACAAATAAGAATTAAAAATTGACTCTCTCTTTTTCTTCAGATAAATCATAAAACAAACTGTTAATATAACGACATATATATATATATAAGATTCAAAATAATAAATACAATGTATCTTTTCACATTCATGAAAATCAATAATACACATTATCAATCCATTAATATCCACATCTATGCATGCATTTATACCTTTTCACAGATAATATAAATGCACCTCCTCACATTCAATCAGATAAAATCAACGAATCAAACTAAATTCATAAAAAATAATGAAACATAAAACAATAAATATGAATGTAAAGTGTTTATATTTATTCAATTAACTATTAAACAAACGTATAATCATCAAAACATTTAATGTGAATTTGAAGTGTTTCTACAAAACATTGAATGGATGTACTTATATCAAATGGTCTAAACCATACAACAATTATAGTCTAAGACTCTAAACCAATAACACACTGACACTTGTAACAATTATAAAGTGTTATGTCACGATCAAATAGCAATGTGTATAGAGATGCCAAATGCTCTCTAAAAGGAGCTTAAAAACACCCTTAATTGTAAGAAACATGGATTATTTACATAGTGAACAATTTACACTAATAATAATTATAGCTCCATTATCCACGCATATTTTACACAATAATATGTCTGTTTTAAAGTAAAGCATTAATACACGAAAACGTCTAATACTATCGCACATATAATACAATTTAAATTACACATGATATGACTGATGCGCACACTGCTCATCCACCACACTGAGGTTTAGTGGGCTCCAAAAACGTAAACCCCAGCCCTTGGTTCGGCATTTTATTGAGCCAGTGGCAATCCTCAAACGCACATTCTTCATTCTTGGGCGATGCCACATCAACTGGCCTTATGTATGTAGGACCCCAAGCCGGGGTCCCATCCTCAAATGAATTGTGCGTTAATCTCTTCAAATCAGAGCCGTCCAATTTAATCGTGAATATCTCACCATAAGGCTGATAATGATGTGGGTTTGAGATTGGCTCAGCCGAAATACCACCATAATCTGAAGTAAACACTATGCTTTTCCCATCCGGACTGAATGACGGATGGTTAGTCCGCCCGCCTAACCCGCTTTGAACCAATTTCCTTAACCCTGTCCCATTAGGATGTATCAAATACAATTCGAAACTCCCCGAACCCGGGTCATCCCGATCCGATGCAAACGCGATCCAATTACCGTCCGGTGACCAATTACACATCGTGTCCGTCCATGGACCCTCCGTCAATCTATGGAGCCCACCTTTCTCCCCCTCAAATGCATCCATTATATACAAGTTCTTATAACCCGTTCGACCCGACCTGAATACGACCAATTTACCGTCGGGCGAAACCGAGGGGAATGCGTTGTTTTTACCATTAGTAGTCAACTTTTTAGAACTAATTTGATCAACATCGTCCACGTGTATGGAGATTATATCAACCTCCGTACTCTCACTTGCAAAAGTGGGTCCCGTGCTAGAATACACAACTCCTTCATGAACCGGGTTCCAAGCGGTTGAGAAAGCGGTTTCTGGGTAAATCTGTCTTCGGTTTGAGCCGTCCCGGTTCACTACATATACTCCTGGGAAATCGACGAACGCGATTCGGTCACCCTTGGGTGAGAAAGAAGGAAACGAACCGTCAATTCTAAAGAGCGAGATATCGGGTAATGGACTCCTGAGATTCTCGAGTAACAGGTGGGTGTTCTTATCTTTTCTGTTTCTGTCACCTCTACACTTATGGTACCCAACTCGGGTTGAGTCAGGCGAGATAAACGGGTTAAGATGGTGAGTTTTGGGTGAAATTAAACGAGTCAACTCACTGAACTCGTTTTTCACAAGATCAAATAGCTCTATGTGGCGATAACTCGAGTTAGGTCTTCTCGTAGCCACTGCTATGAACTTTTTGTTACCTGGCGAAGTAGCTGGAGTGAACGCTTGGAGACCCGGTGGTGTGACTCGCTGAATCGTCACTGACCCGGTTGAAATTGGTCCGTTTTGGGGTAGAATCGCTTTGTAGACACTTATCCAGTTGTCTTCCTCGCTTCTTCTGTGGAAAAACAGAGTAAAATCGTCGACCCAAGACGGCCACCCACCGTTTTCAACAACCTTGACTCGCTGAGTCCCATCCCGAGTCAAAAAGACATAAATATCAGTAGTTAGTATCTCAACTTCACCATCCCATCCTTTCTCTGCATAAGAAGCCACAGCTGTATAAACCCCAGATGGAGAAACTGCAGGACTAAAATCAGCAATTCCATACGGTGTGAGTCTCCTAGTCAACCCGGTTCTCAACTCGGTCGAGTAGACCGCAGCCCAACTCGTCCTGGGTTTACCGGTGTCTTCATGAGTCGACACGTAGATTAAATACTCACCACTCAAACTCGGCTTATCTTTCATCGAAATTGCACTTTTTCCCTGCTTAATTTCCAACAAAGGTACTTGCACACGAGTGGAGAATTCAACTTCAAGCTCAAGGGCAGTTCTCGATCGGGTGTTTGTCGGATTACTAAAAGAAACTGCATCGTAGTAAATGTTTGATGATCCGTTTCTTTCCGTGACGTAGATGAGCTGCAGAGGAGGTGATTCGTGCAAGCCGGGAGGTTGGATTAGGGCTTGATCACGGAGAAGGAAGGAGAGGAGAGAGGGAGAAACAGAAGGGAAGTGGCCGTTGAAATTCAGATACGTACCGTCGGTGATTTGAATCTCGTTGGTGACTGATGGCGTGTCCGAAGCCGGGAGGGTAAAGATGTCAAAAGCGTAATCTAATTTGCCAAGGGTAGTAAAGATAATACTGCTGCTGGCGGTGGAAGTTTCATGGTCGGCCGTAGCAGTAGCACAGAATAAGGTTAGGAGCAAAGAGAGAAGAGAAGTGAGAAATGTTGTGGATTTCATGGTTGGGTTCCGTTTGTGTGAGAGTTGAGTGAAGAGAGGAGACTGTCGATATTTAGATGAGTTTGAGGTTGTGGTGTCAGAGATGACGTGGTGGGAGAATTCGAGGGTACGTACGTGGCGAAGATATGAGTGATGAGATTGATGTGATTTTGGATGAGTGGTGAGTGGGGACATGGCAGTCAATTTTTATCCATAGAATGGGAGTGATTATTAATTTATTATTATTTTGATGTTTGGTAGTTTGTCTGTGTCTCTTTAACTTTTTTATATCCTGTCTTATTTATTAGATACGATACAAAAATATTACCAAATAAATAGAGATACCAAATTTCACTTTCTATTTTTAATTACAATCAGAAAAATATGGAGGAAATTAGCTAGTGGACAATAAAAAATAATTTTAATTATCTTTTTTTAAGGCATAAAATGATACTTTTGTTGTAATATTAATCGAATTGGAATTTGCTGACTGAAAGGCTTTTTTAACTTTGAAAACCCAGCCCAAATGGCCCTTGGCCTTGGGTCAGTTTCCCAAATAGAAGAAAAATGTATTTAAAAAATAAAAGCATATAAGCTTAATTCTTTAATTATCTAACTTATTTCCAATGTAATTAAATCAAGTACAAATTTGATTATTGTAACAATTTTATATATTAATTTTCTTATGTTATTTAAGAACATGTTTTTAAAAGTAAATTCTCGAGATATAGGAACTAAACTTTAGCACTCAAAATGTGTCATCATGAATTGTGTACTTATACATGGATAATGTATAATGCAATATGTATTGGTATATATCTATAAAGAAGAATTATCCTTTATATATACATAGGTATATTAGTTACAAATAGAAATATTTCATTAACATATAATTGTGTATTAAAATAATATCGTATACATAGTATATTTGGTAACGTTATACAACCTATAAACAAACGGATCATTGGTCGGGTAACACCATTAATTACAGTCCTGATGCAGTAACCTTCACCATAATAACTCAACTGACGGCCAAGCCCAAGTAATTGTGGGTCAGACGGAGACAAGACATTGTTCTTCAAAGTCGTTGCCTTGGTCGTTGGCTCGTTGCTTACTAAATTTCAACAATAACACTCTCTCTCTCTCTCTCTATGGAAACTTAATCCCCAAGACAAAGACCTCGTCAAATATAAATATATCCATTTCCACCTTCTCCCCTTCTCTTTTCTGAACTTTGAGTTTCAGACCCAACTCTTGAGCAACAACATCAACTTCATTCTTCTTCTTCTTCTTCTTCTTCTTCTTTCTTTGATACGATGAGTTTCTTGAGACCATCAGCATTGTACCAGTTCCTGTTGACCACCCTTTCACTTAGATGGATGCCTTGCCAAAGCTGGGTTTTTCTTCTTCGTTGGCCCGGCCTTGATGGCTTCTTTAAGATACTTGTTGGCATTCTTCTGTGGTCAACCTTTTCTGAGATTCGCTTCATACCTTCCTCTTCGATGTTCCCAACTCTTCGTATTGGTGATCGAATCTTGATTGAAAAGGTCAACTTTTTTTAACTTGTTTACTAGTGTTTTTTTTAAGTGAATTCTGACTGTAATTGGTGGGTGTGAAATTGTGATTTGACTAGACAGATCATTGCTTTATCAGCGGACTTTCATGTTTATTTTGTAATTCTGTATCCTTTCGAGTTGTGAAGGAGTGATCAAAGCTGCCTAACATGTTCCTTAAGTTTTGTGAACCTGTGATATTGATCATTCAACCAATTCTCTTTGTTTGGAATATAAAACTCACAACTTTTGATTGAATTCATTTGCTGGCCTAGCCGTTCTGAATTTTGTCATATGTAATGATGCTTCTTTCTCTAACATATTTTTATTTATATATTTTGTTTAGTGTATTTATATGGCATGTCACATTTTTTAACCCTATTTCATATATGCATCATTTCTAAAGTTAAGTCTCCAAATAATTGTTCTTAATTCTTGGGAGATACTTCTCAGCAGTATGTTCATATTAATCTCTTTCCTGGGATAGGTTATGTTGACAGTCCCTTTTTTTTATTGTATTTTCAAAAAATGTAAAATCCAGAGAGAGAAATGCTTTGAGTTGGACTTCTTTGTCTTATCAAGGTGCAAAGTTGTGGAATAATACTTTCTGTTAAAATCTGACTTCTTGGTTGCTGGCCTTAATCCACAATTATGATGAATTTTGTCATCAGGATTTTACTGAACTCAACCTTATCTATCATTTCAAAAGCTGAATGTATTATTTCAAATCTAATATCTTGACCAGAAATATTCTTCTTAAGTAGTGCTGCTTTTTTTTTTTTCCCCATTTTTGAAAGCAGAGGAATCATTGGCACATCATAATTGATGCCCATTTTGAACCCTGGAGTCCCACCTTTTCAGGGGGAATAAAATCCACTTGGCTGGAGGGACAAGTGCTAGCTTCGTCTGATAATTCGAATACGTCAAGAGCTTTTCCCAAACTTTTTAGCCTTTTATCTTTTTGTAGTTAGAAAGTAATTTATCTTGAACTTTGATGAGTTTTTCTCTTCTCATAGTAACTTTGACCTAATGAGTCAAATGGAAACCTTGTATCTGAAAATTCTTATATCTCCAAATACTTAGCTACTGATATCTGAAATGTCTGTAGTCCAGAAAAAGTGAAGGTTAGCCTCCCAAACTCTTTAGTTTAAGTTTTTGCTGTCCTGTTTCAAGAGAACTTTTAAGTTTTTATTCACAAAATTTCTCTTCAATTTTGTAGTAATAATCGTTTAGATAGCTAAATTGGAGGTCAGACCATGAAAGAGTGAATGGGGGAAGGGGATCTTGATTTGTCAAAACTCAAAATATGTCAACAAAGGGGTCTGTTGTTTGATTATCGTTAGAGATAGGTTAAATCAACCAAGCAGTCGGTGTAGTTCTTATGTGAAACCAAAATTTGGCTACTTTGAGCAAAGAAGGTGTTCATCCCCCTTGAAACCTTGAGAATATGTCAGATTCTTCTATCATTTAGTCACTGGCTAAGACTTGTGGTTTTTCCACTTGATGAGATATTGAAAGAAGTTACAATCTCCAGATTTTCATTTTAGTCTGCAGGATTTTCGGGTAAAGGTTTTGAAAATTTATCATCTAACCTCTAAGGAACAAAGGCCTATGAAGAGAGTGCATTATATGTTCTTGTGCTGTTCAAGACCGAGGATTGAGGAGCATTTTAATTATTATTTAACTGCATCTGTTTTGGGGTTCTTTTTTTCCTTTATGTAACTTAGCATTTTAGTCTTCAGTAAATAAAGATTTTCGTGGATACCTTTAGGTCCTCATTCATGATTATGGCTTTACTGGTAATGCAACTTTCAGTTTACAGTAAAATACGGTGTGATGTTATTGCATATGCATATTAGTATCCACAGGTGAAAATATAACCTGCACCAACTACTATTCTGTTGTAAGAACAGGGATTGCAAATCTGTCTTTGTATTGCTGATGCATGTCAGTAATTGAGAAGGAGCATACACGATGATTAACATTTAATTTGAGACCCACCAAATAACTGTTCTGGTATGATCTTCATAGAAAAGAATAATACTTGAGTGAAGAGATTTTGATTGAGCTTGTTTTACCTTCAAAAGATATAATAAGAAAAATAGACGATTATTACTCTTTTGTACGAACAATTTCTCAGCGACAATTCTGTGTAGGAACACTGTCATTGTTTCTGTTGCTGTCAATACTGCTTTTCACTTCAAATTGTGAGTAACATAGTTTTTATGACTTCTTCAGGCATCCTATTACTTCAGAAGTCCTGCTGTAAATGATGTCATAACATTTCAAGCTCCAATTCAGGTTTGCATATGCAATGTAGAATTAGCTTAAATTAACATACTTAATGGTTAATTTTTTTATCAAAGTTCACTGTATTGTAGGCTCATTTACAGCACCCTGGATTAGGGGAAGAAGATGTTTTCATTAAAAGAGTTGTTGCAAAAGCAGGAGACTTCGTTCAGGTATTTCTTTCACCCCTTGATGAATTTACCTCGGCATAAACTTTGGAATTTATCAGAGAAAAAGATCTTAGTTTCACTCTCTTTCAACCATTTTTGTTGTTTAAACTAGGTTATTTCCTTGTTTAGTACTTGATTTAGAAAACGAAGAAAGCCATTCTTTTCCTGTCACTTTCTTTTCTTGGCCTCATCAGATAGTTCTTTTGAGGTCTTTGTATCATCTGCTTAGATGAGTTGCTGCAATGTGTAAAGTCATTCTCTGCAACATCACTTGAAATTCTAGTCAAATATATCAAGATCTCCTCAGAATTTATCCTCTTTAATTAACAAAGTGAAAAATATTCCTGTTGAGTTTTATAATAAAGTGTTTTCTACTAACCTTGCAGGTTCGTAATGGTTTGCTCTTTATCAATGGGATTGCTCAGAATGAAGATTTCATAGCAGAGCAGCCAAGATACACATCAACCTTAACAGTGCGCCTCGCATCTGTTACTTTTTTGTCTTTGCATTTTACTTCACTACTCTTCAAAACTTTGCTATACTAGAACCTCTTCTTGAACAACAATATGGAGTAGTAACTGCTGCGGCAGATAACCACAAATAGTCAACAATGCTCCATGCTATATATTTGCTCCTTCTCACTACATGAGGTAGATAAATATGAGCATGATTCATGAAGAAGCCTTGTTGACTCCATGTTGTTGACATCTGAAGGTTACATGATTCCCAGACATTAGTAATTTTGGGTACATCATGGGCCTTGGATGATATAGCATATGCTTGGTCTGCCCCTTCTTTACTTTTCTTAGTCTTTATTGGGATATGATCGACATCTGTTTCATACTAATTTTTACCTTCTATTGCACCTGCAGTGTGTGCCAAAAGATCATGTTTATGTGTTGGGGGACAACCGCAACAACAGCTACGACTCCCATGTTTGGTAGTATTCTCAAGCATTCTAGTTACCATTTTTTTTATTTTTTCCTTTGTGGTATTTCCTTGGATTATTCTTAACACTGACATTTCTGATTTCATCCTTAAATATCTATATCAAACTAAAATTTTGAAAAATCTTGCTTTGTCTCCCACTTCTCTCGTTTTGCATATCCGAAAGTGCTTTGCACCATCAATATCTTCAATATATTTTCTTCCCTTTCATTAACAGTTTCTTTGTTTTTCAAATGTTCATTGATGATAGGGGACCCCTGCCTGTAAAACATATCCTTGGAAGATATGTCACATGCTGCTTCAGACCATCAAACAGCTGACGTGGAAACATTTCTCTGTAGCAGTTCACATACATGGTGTTGCCTCTTTGCTGTCTCTAACACATTGTTTTATGCAGGTTGATTGAATTGTAAGTTAATCGTATATATATGTACCTATGAAAAATCGCAGTCCTGGAAAAGAACGACATTACAATTGAATGTACTGCAAACAGAATACCATAAACATTGAGATTCTGTTTGCACATCTTCGCCATTTCTGACATAAGTTTTTCCAGGGTAAAACCTAATATGAAACCTTTCTGTGATCATTTTTTTGGCATGAAAGTTTATGCAAACTACTTTTAGTTAGCTTTAAGAATAGAACAAATGTTGAATTTCTACATAACTATATAAACTTTTCACCCAGAATTTCTGCACAGGATAGTCTTAATCCCACATAAATTGCACTTATGATTCTATGAAATGGGTGAGTGGAATGGGAATGTGGGTTGGCATGTTTGTGATAATGCATTTACCAAGTTAGATGGCTGATAAGCTTGACAACTGGACCGTTACTCAAATGTTCGAAATTGTGAGAGATTTTTATAGTGGTGTCAACTCAATAGTCGATCAAAATTTAGGTGCAAAATCTCTTTTTCTTTTCATCTTCAACTTTTTGAAAGGTAAACCTGCAATTGCTGGATCCTACTTAGATGGGAAACTCATAATATATCCTTCCAAATAAATTTACATCCTCTTTCAACTATGCCCACTTCCACTTCCACTTCCACTTCCACTTCCACTTCCACCTTCGTGGTCAAAATTGGCTTGCCTCAAACTCAATGGTACGAGGAGTGTGGAGTGCACATACTTGATACTTGCCCAATTAATCTAAATTTAAGGCTCTCTCATAAACTTCATAATTATTATGTTACAGAAAATGATAGTATTTAAATTATGTACAAGTGTTCATATATGCTTTTCCACTTAAATTGGTGTCTTTGTCTGTCTCAATATGGGTCCACCAGTATAAAGAATCAAATCCAACGGTGCCCATAACAATATCACCCACCAAACATGAAGCCCATAACATCAAATGGCTCTTATCAATTTCCCTTGATGATAATGAATCAAATGGTAGTGATACACATATCATTCATTAGGGTAAACGACATGTTCCCACTTCCCACCCAAAGAGTAGCCAAACCACAAGTTTCACCCCTACTTTCATTTAATCTAGATTTTTACCATTAAATTAACACTGTTAATGATTTTTAGATTTTGATACAGTATAAAGAATATTATTATCAAACTACCATTGACAAATAAATTAATAAATTACATTTTAACCCCAATATATCTTGATTTTTTCAGTGGCTGCAGGGAAGGGAAAATCGCTCAAATTCGACCAAAATGGAGGTAGATCAGGTTGGGGGATGGATGGGTTTTGTCGGGATGAGTGGCGGAAGCTAGTGGTGTTGGCAGTGATGTCCAACGACACCCAAATCCGGCTAGATCTGAATTTTTCCAGTGGCCACGAAGGAGGGAAAAATCATGGAGGAAAGGCTTAGATCCTACCAAAATAGAGGCGAACGAGGTTGGGGGATGGATGGGTTTTGTTTGCGATGAATGGGGGAAGCTAGTGGTGGTAGTAATGATGTCTAATGATGTTAGAATCCGGCTAGATCTAGATTTTTCTTGCAGCCGTGAGGGAGATCAAGTGTGCTTGTGAGAAATTTGAGATATAGAGGGCTATTTTAAAAAATTTATTATTATTTCATGTTTAATGCAATTTAAACAATCATTTTACCTTTTTACTGTTTCATTAAATGGTTTTATATTCATTTAAGTATGATAAGAATAAATGAAACAGGGGTGGAAACTTGGGATTTCGCTAATCTTTAGGCTGGGAACATGTAGTTTACTCTTTATACAAATAGATTAAACAAAAACTCAAAATAAACAACTAAATACAATTTAAACGTTATATTTATGGATTGAAATCAAATCATATCTCTTGAACCAACCCAGTTGAAATATGATAAAATATATTATCTTATAATCATGGTTATGTCAAAAATGGAGATAATAATGGAGCGTGTGTGTCACAAGTCATCAGGTTATCACTTCCATTCCACCTTCATTGAAATTCTGGCCTTTCAACCTCAAAACCTGAAACACATTCTACCTTATTAAGTTATTATACTGAATGTGTGCCACGACTCATTGACATGAAACCAAGTCTCCTCCACTCTCTCTATCACTGGAGCTTCCGCCCATAAACGACTCGCCGCATGGCCAGGTGGGTTAACCCAGAGTCACCTCTGGTCATCTTCCATGACCAAAACCCAAGAATTTCACTGAGTGAAGGTAGTCAACAACACACGCCCATTTTGTCAACATTCTCTTCACAACTCTTCGTATTCAAATTCAATTTACAAGTCGGCAGTTAGCAGCAGCTAGCATTCTCTTAAAACGACAGCGCACCCAATAATTTCAACTTTCCGCAGCTTGATGCCAATGAGTGAGAGGGAGAAAATATTCATTTAAAATTAATAAAGAAAACATGTGATGCGGAAAAAAAATCCCGATAATTTATTTTTGTAGGCGCCCAATGTTGACCGGCATATCAGAAATCTCCAAAGTCTTATTTTGGACCCACTCCATTAAACGTTGGTCGCCTATCCCTCCGTCCAATGCGGACCCCAATATTGTGCAGCTCTGATCAATTTGTAGGACTCCAATTTCACCAGCTGAGTCTAATTAGTAATTATCATAAAGCAATTGATAAATATTATTTTTATAATTATACAGCCAATCAAATATACGAAAACATTGCTAATACTAGATAATTAACCTTTTAAGATTCTTAACCAAGGCTTTTATGGATATAAATTCAATTTAAATATTGGTGACAGTGTCTGTAGTGTAACATTTGTCTAAATTTTTTTTTTTTTTTTTATCATCAAAGGTGTTCGGACCAGCGTATACACCTTAACTAATCATTCGGAACCCTGAACTACTGGTCGGGTAAGAGTTCTATTAGTTATCTCTATTAACAATTGAAAAGTGACTCAAACTGAGGACCTCTTGAGTAATACATTAAAAAGTCTTTATCGAACCACTCAGTTACTCAGAGATAATTTCGTCTAACTTCTTTACCAAATATATATTAATTGTGTATAATTATATATTATGGTACAACTAATACTGCATACTTTAATTGTCGATTTTGTTATAGGATTAATTTAAGGTGAAATTACGTAGTTGAATGACCTTAAGTTTTCTAGGATTTGAAAATTTGGGCATTAGGCATGCAGTTTAGCTTGTCGTGAAGGTATGTAATAGTACTATAATAATTTCTATTGACTATCAATTGTTGATTGGACGATATATTTCCAAAGTTTTTATTTGATAATAAGCTAATTAGTGACATTTAAAACCTTATTTTATTTATAATTTAATAAAGAAAGTTGTATGTACGAATATGATCCCAACTCCCAAGGAGTAGCTCGATTGTATGAATAGTCAACTTTTTAGAGTCAAGATGGTGTAAGAAAAGCACTTTCTAGGGCAGAAAGTCAAAATATTATACACACAATCTTAATTTTTCAACTAAAACTGTGAATGGACCCTTCTTCAAACTTCAAAGCACGTATTAAAAAAGATCGATGAAGGTGAAGATGATCTTGGTATATTATTATTCAGCGCGACCAAACAATAATGCATCACGAATCGCCACATTATTCTTTATAACAAGACAATATTGCATTATTTATGGCCATCAATATTAAATTATTAATTAATTAATTCTTCTTTGCCCTAATTTCGATCATCAATAGTATATTTATTTGTCACTAATAATGTAGAATTTACCCGATTAGAATTATATTTTACATAGTATATAATTCGTAAATTCACTTCTTCTTTCTTTCTTTCTTTCTTTTTTCTTTTTAAATTAGTTTTGGTGTTTCTTACTTTCCTATGCATGATGTTACCCTACCATGAAACATTATCAAATAAATTTTATTATATGATTGATTTATTTAAATTAGAAAAACTTTAATACTATATAGTTTATTCCATTCACATTTTGCAATGCTACAAAAATACTTTCACCTTGATCGAACAAAATTCAAAAGGAGTGGTTACACTTTACATCTTTTAATGATATTCGCTAAATTTAAGTCAAAGAAAACAACACACAGGATTGCTTCTTCTTCAATATCAACCAACATAAACGTACAAATCTCCAATTTCTCTTTACGGCCTTAATTTAAAGAGCTAGCTAGCACACCTCCATGGACAATGATTTCCATAAGAACTTCAAATTTTCATTACATCATGTGTGATGTCCTCTAAAAATAATACATAAAATCAATGGTTTGATAATTATTAATGGAGTGAAAGAATCGATAAAATTAGTTAGATGTGAAGGCAACTAGTGGGTGTGGGATGGGCGTTACACATTTTTTAGATAAAGGAGAATATAAATATATAAATATCCTCCATGTTTATCGATCCATGCATAGAATTGATGCTCGTGAGCTTAATTTCATCTACAATTCAATAAAGCTATACAAATATATATACACAATAGATAGATAGATAAATGTTCTCGATCTTTTTTAAATAATTCGACTAAATTTCATTCTGGGAAAGCTTTTTCCTCATATTTTTAGTGTTATTATTCATGCATGCATACAGATTTTCATTATCATTTTTTCACAATGCATAATTAATTTAATATTTTTCTATGCTTGAAGCTTCTGGGTAAGATTTTAATTAAGTATTTAATTTATTGACGTCACTTTAGGAGTCAACAAAGGAGAAGGAGGGTGGTGACCATCGGACACACCTTTGAAAAAACTTTCAAGAGAAAGACAGAAAAAAGATTCTAAGTATAAAAACTTTGAAGTAGCTATCAAAGAGGAGTAGTGCTTCTTGTTGCTACTTCTCACATTCTCCAGAGACTACCTTTATTTTTATTATGAACAATATTGAATTCCATTTGTAGGTGCTTAAAAGGCGCTTTTATGGATAATTGAGACAATCACTTTTATATTCCAATTTGTGCTTACAGGAAATTGATACGTAGTATTTAATTTAGAAAGCGAAGATGGATCGATGGAGCATTGGAATTCATGTATTTCATTCAAAGATTTCAACTAGCTGGAATTGCTTTCTGACTGATACTAGTAATAGTATTGGTTCTTTCAGATTTTTCTCAATCTCAGTTGCTGTTTTCTACTTTATTCTCTAAATTAACATCAGTCCAACTTGTTACAATGAAAAATATATATATTACCCACTTTTTGTACCTAATTATAAATTAATTACCTAAATAATTCGTGTATCAATCTTTTGTTGGAGTTGTCGACCACTTCAACGATAACGGACCACACAGACATATTTGGGAAGCCAATGAAAGATTTCTCTAAGTATGTAATTCCTAATTGGGTTTAAGCTTAGTAAAAAAATTATCTTTGTAATATTAGGTTTTACTCTTCAAACCTATTATATAAACTTCTTTTTCTCTTGTATATGAGTGATACCAAATTATAGGGCAAACTACTTTTACTGTAACAAAAGATGTGAGATAATATTTCAATAATATTGACTCTGTTGGACGCAATCTATTAATTGGTGAACCAATGTAAATCACGCGTATATTTCTTTTTCTTTTTTTATTGATATTTGTATATGTTTTCTGTCTTGATTTCGTAGTACTCTAGATTATTTCCCCTTCTATACTGATCCGAATATGTGTGTGTGTGTGTATGTGTGTTGTGAAGATTTATTCTATTAAATGTACTTAAGTAAAAACTTTACATTAGTGGAAGAGAATCCGATTTCAATGAACTACTTATTATTCATTTGAAAATCAAAGAAAAGTCGTATTTGTACTTTGTAGAACTACAAGTATCTTTCAATATTTATGTCCGTTGATGCGTGATTTTGACACCAATAATCTCGCACGTGCAAAATGCTAAGCAGATTTTAGAAATTACACATGATTAATTTTGAGAGTTGTGATGACATATGTTTGTAAAAATATAAATAAAAAATTGACAAACGAGATTTTTATAGTGATTTGGATGCTTAAAGCGAATCTTACGTCCACTGTTATTTTATTATTTTCTGACTATTTTTCTGATATTACCTGTAAGGTGTACAAAAATAGAGTAATGCTTATTTTACAGAAAAAAATAATGGTTGCTAATTTATACACCTTTAAGCTCAATGTAATGAGTGCTTTTGCAAGTTGTCTTGACAAATTGAGAGCTCTCATTCATCTTGATCATTTATTTTGGTAAAGGTGGGACAAGTGTTATATAATATTTCTTTGAGGCGGTTTGAGTTTTGATAGCTAATATCACCTTGCCTTTAAGTATTTGTTGAGTTCTGATTGATGTTGTTAACATCAATGTGTATTTTTAGCATAACATTTACAACAATGTTCGAATATAATGAAGTATTGTATAAAGTATAAACAATTTCCTCACACGTATAAGCTAAGTTTGGCGTAACCACCGTGCTGATTCCATGCATGGTATGTTAGGTCTGCATCACAAGCTTCTTTAGTTCTTTTAATTCTATTTCCAAGATATAACAGAATGTGTTCGATCTTATTGCATTATTAAATAAATAAATAATTCAGAGATGAGTAGAAGCGTGAGACAACTAAACAGCTTACAATCAACATTTGTTGTGTAGTGATTTGTATATATTAAAATATAATTTTTGTTG